TTTTTAAGACGGCCTTCTTGATAGGTTTTTCCCCTTAGAGTTGAGGGAACAAAAGTTGGTGGAATTCATGAACCTCCGTCAAGGGGGTATGAGTGTGAAGGAGTACTCTCTCAAGTTCAGCCAACTTTCTAAGTATGATCCAACATTGGTGGCAAATTCTAGGGCTAGGATGAATAAGTTTGTAATGGGGGTGTCCGGTTTGGTTAAAGAAAAATGTCGTACGACAATGATCCATCATGATAGGGATATCTCTAGGCTCATGACATATGCTTAAAAAAATTGAGGAGACAAAGCTTAGGAAGAAGAATAGGGATTTGAAAAGGGCTAGGCCGGATGAACAAGGTCAACCTAGGTCCAAAAAGAGGTACTACAACCAAGATTCTTCTATGGTACAATGAGAGGGTGTCTAACCCTAAACCTCAAGGAGGGAATGGAGGTGGTTCTTCATTTGAAAGGTCCAGATGTGCTCCATGTGGGAAGCAACAGTTAGGTAAGTGTCTTGCTGGCACGGATGGGTGCTTTGGGTGTGGGAAGAAGGGTCATAAGTTGAGGGATTGCCCAACACTTCCGGAAAAAGATAGAGAGGCCAACCAAAGTTCTCGTGATGGCCCGGATCCTAATGCTCCAAAGAGAAACTGTTTCTACGTGCTTCAAGGTAACAATGACAAGGGAGCTAATCCGGATGATACCAGTAAATTGATAGTTCCTTAGAATTGTGATGTCCTATTGAAGTTCTTATGTTGTCTTATGTTGACCTTACTTGGGATTACCCTTAAGTGAGGGATGGTACATTGAGTAGTAAGGTTGTGGTGACTGTTGATATCCTTATCTCTTTCCTTCTATTCTTATTCGAGCCTGAGACCAAGAGTTCCTAGTAGATTGTTCATGTTTTGGAGTCTTGTGTGGATAAGAGTTTTCCATGTTCTCCTTATGTTATGCATGTTCTAGTTGAATTCTTATGTAAATGAGAAAATGAGTTTTCATGATTTATGTTCCTCATGTTGATGTGCGTTTGATATGAATTGTCTATATGCTTCATGAGGATAAAGGTTGAACATGCTTAATTTTGATTTTGAGAGTAATTGCATAATGTGCCTAATGATGCTGTGATGAGAAGATGTGATTTGGAGAAGGAAGTTCCTCCAATGAAATGAGAAATGTGAAGTCTTGATGCATAAAGAGTTTGTAGATATAGTTCCTACTTGCTTGTATTGTATTGAACTTGTTGATGTGGAGTTGATGTTTCCTCCTATGTTTATGCATTTATATTGATGTTGCATGCTTGATTGTGGGCTCCTAGTCTTGAGTCGTTACCCAATTAATCTGTTTTAAGTGTCATTCGAGAACGAATGATCCCAAGTGTGGGATAATGTAACGATACTAAAAATGAACTAGTAAAATTAGAGCCTAATGTGTGTTCGTTTGTGTTCGTCTTGAGTTTTGATGGTGTATTATGTCGTTCTGAGTCATGGTTGAACAACTTAGGGGTTAAACATCAAGATATGACTATAACGCACAGAAACTAGTAAGTTGAACTAGTGTGTTGTAAGTGTCTTGTAATGAAGTTTTGGAGTGTGGTATGAGGGTTAAAACTCAAGGGGTCCTTGGGGAGGACCCCAACATCAGCCCAAAAGTTGTCAAAACAGCTTGATACACGAGATCCATTCATGGCCAGTAGATCAATCTTCGGCTCGTGGGTCTTGGGCATGGATCAGGCCTGTGTACGACCCCCAAATGAGGTTCTCTCTCCCAATCCACGGATGCACAACACGGAGCTGTCAATCCATCCACAGTCCGTGGATGGTGGCTCGTGGATTGGCACCTGCTTGTTGTCATGTACACGACCAAGGTGGGGGTGAATTGGAAAATTCACCCCAAGTCTTTTAAAGTGAATGGACGGTTATTTTAGGTGTATTAACATATTTTAAGGGTATTAAAACAATAAAATGCTAATTCAGATGTCATTCTTCAAATTCCAAAATCAAAAACCCTTCCCTCTCAAACTACTTTCTCTCTAAGAATTCCATAGAAGACTTCAAGTTTCCAAGGTCAATTTCATCAAGATTTTCGAAGCTATTTTTTTCAAGGGGATTTCGTGGATTCTCATCTAATAGGTATGGTGTCGTTGATCCTCGTCTAATCTTCCATTCAAGGAGCTAATTCAAAAAAGTTTTCAAATCACAAAAAGTTAGGATATCACTCAATCTCATGGGTTCTTTCATCAAACGTTTTCAATTGATAAAATATGATTATATTGACTTTAATGGATGATTTTAAGATGAAAAACTCTATGAACCCATGATTTCTCTAAATTCCTAAATTTGGCCTTATGAAGTGGTTTATTTGATTATGAATGAATGATGATGGATTCATTCTTAGATTGGTTTAGATTATTGATTTGTATCATTATCTATGTCTAATTATAATGAATTGTTGGTGAATTGAGGATTGGTGATTATTGCCTTGAAAGGGCAAGTTTGACCTAATTTCATGTGAATGTATAATTGTGCTTGGATTATTGATCCACTTGACAGGTGGAGGTGTTTACTTACTGGTATATTGATCCACTTGAAAGGTGGAGGTGTTTACTTATCATGTACATTGTGATCGTGGCCTTGAAGGCATAACTTGATGAATTGAGGTATTATGATAATGTTGAATATATATGAATGTGATGTGAAGCATGTGTGTGATCTAAATGAATGAAAGACGATCTTGCTTAGAAGCTAATTATGTTAGAATTGAATGTTATCTCTCTATTAACACTTGTAAATGATGGTAATTATGTGAAAAGCTATTCTCACATAGAAACACACATGAATGAATGAATGAATGAATGAAGGTAAATGATAATGATAATGAATGTTGAGTCTATTGAAAGGTTATCCTCGATTGTTCTCTAATGAATGAAATGGGGTTCTTTAGGTGAAAGGCTATTCTCATCTTTGAATCTATGAGCTTTCCAATGAATGAATGTGGGATGGGATGGATGCTCATTCGGGAGTTGAGGCGGAGTATCTAGTAACAATCCCTATATCCCGTCTTAGTGAATGTTTGGTTTAAGATGTATGCTCATCTATGAGTTGAGGTAGGGTATCTAGTTGCAATCTTTTATCCCATAATGAACTACTGTATTTAATGTAATGTACTCTATGAGGGAAAATGCTAAGCACCGAGTGGATATGGTTAGAGATGGGTGCTCATCTGGGAGTTGAGGCGGGGTACTTAGTAGCAATATCTTGGGATGGATGCTCATCCGTTAGTTGAGGCGGGGTATCTAGAAGCAATCCCCCTCTCCCATAACTATGTGCCCACATATGTCTAGCTAGTGGAATCCACTTAAGGCTAAAGAACAATGGTCCTACCATAGGCAAGTAGGAATCCCTTATCTAGTGAGGGTGACGCCGGGATTCCATGTCAACCTCTCATGGTCTATGTCGATTAAGGGTTACCCCATAATAATGTTAATGAACTATGGTTTCTTGAGGATGTACTACTTAGTATGGGTGGTGAAATGGGACGTCATCTTTGCATTGCACAAGTGGGCATTTGAGAGGAGTCATGATGTGTTCCTTATAATGTTAATGTAATGAATGGATTCTTATGATCATGTTAATGAGGAATGTTGAGCTTATGACTAGTTGGGTATTAATGTGCCTAGTCTATGGTGACTTCAAAGGAGCACTTAGTGTGAGTAGTAGTATGAGATGCTACTTGTACATTGCACAAGTGTGAGTTAGAGTTATCTTAGATGATGGTATTTATGTGGTGATTATGTCTTATGTAATGTTGTGTCTCTTATGAATGAATGTTGATGAAGTTTGAAATGATGCATGTGAGTTCACCTTTGGTGACCTTAAGGTGATGCTTTGGTGTGTATGGTGGTATGGGACACTATCCATACATTGCACAAAGTGTTGCCTGAGGGTTACTTAAGGTGAATGGTGAAAGGTAAAGGTAATGGGTTTATAAGTTGAACACGTCTCCATTGTGATAAATGACGTGTATGTTTATTATGATTGAGTATTATGACTCTTATACTTGTATGGCATGAAGTTTTACTAAAATAGCATAAAAGCATGTCTTTTAAACAAATGTCCTTTCTGAGCATGTTTTGCATGGCTATCATACTTAGTACTTTATGTGCTAACCCCATTCATTTTTTATGTTTTTACTACAAGTGTAGGTTGTGGTAACAAAGTGGATCTCTCTAGTTTGAGCTTGGAATAGACTTCTTCCAAGACATCTTTTGGGTATGTCCTCATAGAGTGAGGACAAGGGCTTTTCATGTTTTAAGTTATTTTACATTTTAGACTATTGTTAAGACTTCGATTGTAAAGGGCCATGACCCTATCTTGTATAAAGTTGTCTAAGATGGCCATGTGAGACTTTAGTATTCTGCTGCTTTATAAATGTGTTTTTGACTGTTTGATTTATTAAGAAAAGTTTTAATTCCGCACTATTCTTATTACCCATGAGATGAATGAATGTTATGAGGCTTGTATAAGATCCCTTCGGGGTCGAATACGCCATGATACGACTAAGGGGTGCTCTCGGGTCGTGACAGCTAGACTCTCTGTACAAGATTTGACGAACCATGAACCTTTCTGGGAACCAATTTCTAGTAGCTCTCGTATGAGGTAGGTTCTTGTGACGGGCCGTGAAGTTGCCTGTGAAAGGCAACACAGACTGTGGGATTGCCTGTGAAGGGCTTCCTTCACCCAGTTCTACAATTCATAGTTCAAGTCCTCCTTGCACACATCAACACCTAGTGACTCTATAAAAAGAAAGAAAATGATAAAATGTAAACTACCGATTACAATTACAAACTTTTGTTGCCTCCCAAGAAGTGCACAATTTAACGTCGCCGCGCGACGCAGGTACTTGAGTACTCATACTTCATCAAGCTTACATTCCTCCACTATTTTCACTTCTTCTGGAACACCCAAGTATGCTTTGATTAGCTTACCATTGGTCTTGGACCTCTCAATAAAACCCGACTAGAATACATAAGTTACCTTAAACGTCCTAGACCATTTGGATCTCAATTTCCCAGGAAACAGACGAAGTCTGGAGTTGTAAACCAACACCAAGTCACCAGGAGTAAAGGTTCTTTCCTCGATATGCTTACGATGATACAAATTCATCCTCTCCTTGTACAGTGCAGACCTCTCATATGCTCTCAAGCGTAACTCATCCATCTCATTGATGTGATCCAGTCTAAGGTTTGCAGTTTTACTCCAACTAATGTTCAACTTCTTCAAAGCCCAGATTGCCTTATGCTCAAGCTCAACCGCCAAATGACATACCTTTCCAAACACCAATTGATATAGAGTCATACCAATAGGCGTCTTGAAAGCTGTCTGATATGCCCATAGATCATCATCTGACTTTCTTGCCCAATCTGTTCTGTTCGTATTCACCATTTTTCCCAGAATAGCCTTTATTTCCCTATTTGATACCTCCCCTTGGCCACTGGTCTGCGGGTGATAATGTGGTTCCACCTTGTGTTGTTTAACCCCATATTTTGCCAGAAGAGAATTGAATACCTTACTGCAAAAATAGGAACCCCCATCATTGATAATAGCTCTCGGTGTGCCAAACCTTGAGAAGATATTCTTCTTTAGAAATCCTGCAACACTTTTGCCATCATTCTTAGGCAGAGCAACTGCCTCAACCCATTTTGACACATAGTCCATTGCCACTAGTATATACTTTTTCCCAAAGGAACTCACAAATGGGCCCATGAAATCTACTCCGCACACATCAAATAGCTCCACTTCGAGAATGGGTGTCATTGGTAGTTAGTGGTGCCAAAAGATGGATCTTTGCCGCTGGCATACATCACAGCTCTTCACTATATCCATTACATCATGATTAATTATAGGTCGGTAGTACCCACTCTAAAGTACGTTGTGTGTTGTCGTAGCTCCTCCATGATGGCCACCCATTGGAAAGGAGTGATAGGCCTCTAAAATATGTAATATCTCAGCCTCAGGGATGCATCGCCTGATGATATTATCTTCACACACCCCTTACAAATAGGGTTCATCCAAAAAATACTTACCCACATCATGCAGGAACCTTTTCCTTTGTTGAAATGTCACCCCCTCAGGCATCAAGTCACTAACAAGAATGTTAGAAAAGTCAGCAAACCAAAAAATAAGATCAAGAGTTGCAGCAAATACCTACTCATCTGGGAATGAGTCATTGCTATCTAGCTCAAGTTCCTCTTTCTTTTCAGCATCAAACATAGACATGTGATCAGCCACCTAGATTTCTTAACCTCTCCTATCCTTTACCTCAAAGTGAAACTCCTGAAGCAGCAACACCCATCTGATCAATATTCGCTTTGCATCTTTCTTTTCCATGAGATATCTCAAAGCTGCATGATCCTTATGGACTATCACCCTAGTACCTAGCAAGTAGGCCCTGAATTTCTCAAAGGCATATACAACAACCAGTAGTTCATGTTCAGTGACTCTGTAGTTTCCTTGTGCTCCATTTAGTGACTTGTTGGCATAGTAGATCGGATAGAACATCTTATTGTGCTTCTGCCCCAACAAAACTCCTAAGGAAGTACCACTAGCATCTCACATTACCTCAAATGGTTTAGCCCAATCTGGGCCAATGATCACTGGGGCAGAAATCAGCTTCTCATTCAGGTATTCAAAAGCTTTTAGGCATGCCTCATCAAAAGCAAATATTCACCTCCTTTTCCAAAAGCTTGCACAAGGGATGTGAAATTTTCGAAAACTTGATGAATCACCTATAAAATCTTGCATGTCCTAAAAAGCTGGAAATACCTTTCACACATATAGGGGGAGGCAACTTTTCAATAACCTCAATTTTGGCTTTGTCTACCTCTTATCCCTTTTGTGACACCTTGTGACCGAGGACTATGCCTTCCTTAACCATGAAATGGCACTTCTCCCAGTTTAGCACTAGATTGGCCTCCTCACAAACCCTACTAAGACTAAACAAACAGTCATTAAAAGTGTCACCAACCACCGAAAAGTCATCCATGAATACCTCCAGAGTGTCCTCTACCATGTCCAAGAAGATATATATCATACACCTCTAGAAAGTTGTTAGTGCATTACATAGTCCGAATGACATGAGTTTAAATGCAAAGGTGTCATAAGGAGATGTAAAAGTAGTCTTTTCCTGATCTTCAGGATCTATTGATAGCTGGTTGTACCCAGAGTATCCATCTAAAAATAGTACCACCCTTTTCCAACCAATCTGTCAAGCATATGTTCCATGAATGGCATTGGGAAGTGATCATTCAACGTTCACTTGTTCAACTCTATGTAGTCCATGCACACTTTCCATCGAGTGACTTGTCTCTGTGGGATCAACTCATTCTTTGCATTGGCAACTGTTGTCATACCATCCTTTTTAGGCACACATTGCACAGGGCTGACCTAATGACTGTCAGAAATGGGGTACACAACTCCAACATCTAACCACTTGATGATCTCTTTTTTGACCACCTCTTGCATTGGTGGATTTAAACTCCTCTGGTGCTCAATGCTTGGGCTACAGTCCTCCCCAAGTTTGATCTTATGAGTGCATATACCCGGAGATACCCTAATGATGTCAGCAATGGTCCACCCAATTGCCCTTTTATACATTATCAACACTTTATTCACAGCTTGTACTTGTCCATCATTCAACTCTGCAGCCAATATCACAGGTAAAGTGTTGTTAGTACCTAAAAATACATACCTCGGCTGACTGAGTAATTGTTTTAGTTCAAGCACTGGCGGATCCTCAATAGATGGTTTTGCTGGAGGACTTGCCTGTTTTTCTAATCCAAGTCTAGCTTCTTTGGAGAATAAGAGTGTGCTCCCATGCCCTATAAAGAATTCATTGTCTCCACATAATCAGTCTGGAAATCCTCTTCAAAGTCCATCAACACAGCTGCTATTGTTTCGACCGCAAGCCTTTCCTCAATAGTTACTCCCATCTCTCCTTCATCAAAGGCCACTATTGCAGACACCACATTCATGTCTTGGGGCTGCTTCATTGACCTGCAAATTTTAAACTTTACCCCTTCCTTGTTGAGTCTGAATTTCAATTCTCCACTCTCAACTTCAATCAATGCTCGTTCTGTGGCTAGAAATGGTCTACCCAAAATTATGGGAGCCTCAAAATCCACTTTGCAATTCAACATCACGAAGTCTGTTGGAAAGATGAAAGTATCCACCTTTACAAGCACGTCACATAAAATGCCTATAGGTCGCTTCACCGATCTATCTCCCATCATCAACCTCATTGTCGTGCGTTTTGGTACTCCTAACCCTAGTTTCTTGTAGATGGCCAGTGACATCAGATTTATATTGGCCCCTAAGTTACACAAGGCCTTTGCAAACTCAAATGATCCAATGGTGAACGGTATGGTGAATGCACACGGATCCTCCTTCTTTTGTACCAGAGATCTTGTGGCTACACTATAGTGATGAACATTGTCAGTTAAATCAAAACTTACAGCTCTTTTCTTTGTGACCAAGTCCACCATGAACTTAATATATCCTGGCATCTGCTCTAGGTATTCCACCAATGGGATGTTCATTGATAGTTATCTCAGCATGGTTGTGAACTTAGAAAATTTCCCATCTTCAAGTTTCTTTTTAAGCCTTTGAGGGAATAAAGGAGGTGGTCTTGCTATTTGTTGTAAAGGCATAGTTTCCTCAGCCTTGTTTTCCTTTGCTCATGCTGGTTTTTCTATTTGTTGAGCGTCTTCCATGCCATCTACCTGTTCAGATTCAGTCTCCTCTCTTCCAGTTTGCTCCAACCCTTGTTCCTGCTCAGTACCTGCAGAAATAGGTTTATTCAGAATCTTACCACTCCTTGTGGAGATATCAGTGCAATGCTCGTCCTTCTTGGAGTTCAGAATAGTATCACTTGGTAGTGACCCATTCTTCCTCTGGTTCAGTGATGCTGAAAGTTGCCCCAACTGTTGCTCTATTTATTTTATGGAGGTGGTGTGAGAGTCTACCAGTTGACTCATACTAGAGAAGTCACATTTCATCTCCTTCACCATTGCATCAATTGACTCAACCTTTTGGAGAACCTTAGCCAACATATATTCCAGCTTAAACCCACTGGAACTACCACTTGCACGGTATCTATTACCTGGGGGCACATACACACCACTGCGATCATTCTTGTAACCATCTCTGTTCTGCCAGTTTCCCTGCTCTCTATTTGCTGGCCTGTCATAATGTCCTTCCCTGGAATAGTTCTGACCTGCATTTCCAGAATTATAACCTTGGTTTCCCGAGTTATATTTTTGAAAAACCTCCTTGGTTGCCCAAGTATTTAGCTTCCTCATCTAGATCGATATCCTAATCTTCTTTCCGGTTTGGGATCCTTATAGCATTCACCTTCTCAGAACCTGCAATGATATGCTTTGTGAGTAGATCCATTTAGGTTCGTATATGAGCCATATCTTGATCCCTTTCTTCCTCTCTTCTCCTTTGTTCAACTGATAGCCCGAAAGTGACTCCCAGATTTTCCACTTCAGCCTCCCTGGTGCGCCAAGCTCTATTAGTTTTCGCTACTTTATCCATTAGCTGCATGATTTCAGCAAAAGGTTTTCTCATGAATAATCCACCACAAACAACATTAACAACATGCTTAGTAACATAATTAAGTGATCTATAGAAGACATGTTCAAATGTCTCTCAGTGAGAGCATGGTTTGAACACTTTTTCAGCTTTTGGCTGAGTCTCCACCAAGTATCATGCATTGGCTCCCCTAGTAGTTTCTTGTGTGAAGTTATTTCATCTTTTATCTGCAACTCTTTCAATTCATGATAGAAACGTTCCAAGAGAGCTTCCTTCAGGTCATTCCATTTTCTAATTTAGTCATCTAACATCTCATTCAGCCAATTTGTAGCCTCCCTAGTGAGAGAAAATGGAAATAGGCTCAATCTCATGGTTTTCTGACTCACCCCAGGAATTAACTGTTATAATACCCCAAACACTAGTAGACTAAACTAGAGTCTTAAGTTAGGGTTAAGGGAAAGGATTTTGGTGAAGGCCATGGTTAGGGGGCCAAGGCAGCTAAGAAAGCACCTAGCCATTGCCCACCATGACTACGAGGGCCTTCACGACCCGTGGTGGCTACCAGGAGTCATGGTACCACCCGTGGTTAATGAGGCAGTGATTTCCCAAGGCTGACAGGAAAAATCTCCCCTTCACGGGCCACTTCATGGCACATGGTAAGGACCACTGACCGTGGGAAGGCTTGTGGTGTTGCCTCAGCCTCATGGGAGGCTTTTCAAGTTGGATAGGGTACTGGTCAAGGGACCACGGGCACCACCACCAGCCGTGGTCCCCTTGACGGGTCGTGAACATAGGCGTGGTCCCTGGAAAGGGTCTTCCTAGTCGAGGGCTTTTTAGTAAAAAAAATTTGAGTTGGTATTAAGTGGGGGTCATTTTATATGGACAATATACAGCTATATAAACTATTTTAAGTTATTAAAGACCCCAACTAAGTTATTTATTCCAAAACCACAAAAGATCCCTAAGTTTTTCATCTTAAAAATTCTCTATCTAGAAAACTCAAGACTTGAAGAAGAAGATAGAGCTTGAAGCATAGGTCAAGAACAAGACTCCAGTATTGTAAGCTTGTGTAAGGGCTTTGAATAAAGGTATGTTAACTTATTCATCTATGGGTTCTTTCACCC